GTTTAAAACTCTTCTTACAGTCTTACTTGCTATAAATAGCTATGCAGTTTTATAATTTCAGTTAGTTGCAATCATTTTTCTACCCTGTTTATAGAAAAGTTTGAACCCTTACGACATCAAAGCATCTGAAGTCCTGTGTATGATGCATTTATGTGTTATATCACTCAATTGCTGCATTATGTAGGTGGACGAAAGAGAGAGAGATCGGGAGAAGGATAGGGACAAAGCAAACCTTCTGAAGGAGGATATGGATGCTAATGTTGCCTCTAAGAGACGGAAACTAAAAAGAGAGCATCTTCCATCAGGGGAAGCCGGTGAGTATTCTCCTGTGGCTCCACCACCTCCTCCCCTTGCTATCGGTGTCTCGCAGTCGTATGATGGACGAGATAGGGGAGACCGAAAGGGAGCCATGATGCAGCGTGGTGGTTACATGGAAGAGCAAAATATGAGGGTTCATGGAAAAGAAGCAGCCACCAAGATGACTCGTCGTGATTCAGATCCGTATCCTTAAAAGTCCACTTCATTGATCATCATGCATGTAATCTAAAAATGCATTTTATCCATTTATCTTTTGTTCTTTTACCATTTGACATGCTTGCATATTGCTGGCATTCTTAATTTTCAACCGATAGTGTACCAGAATTTGCAAGTCCTTAATCAGGGCCCAGAATGTATGACCGAGAGTGGGAAGATGAGAAGCGGCAAAGAGCTGAACAGAAGAGGAGACATCGGAAGTAGTATTCTTCGAGGGAAACTAGTTGCCTTAGTGCAAGTTGACCAACTGTTCATTTCCTCGTCTTGATGTTAGCTTAATGTACATTTTTGTTGTTTCTTGCTAGGTCGTCAGCTAAATACGCAAAAGAAATTAGAATGCTTGAACTGGGGTTTTGCCCATCATCCTTAACCCTTATGTCCCAGTTGCAGATTTGCTGTAGTCTTGGATTTTACTATTGCTTTCAAAAATTTATTTGGAAAAAGCGTGTCAAATGAGAAGTTGAAACTGATTCATACCCTGTACGAATGCTGTAAATTCAATTAGTCTTTAGTCAAGTAATTATTCCAACTCTTTATCCTCGTTTCTTCTAAATTTGATTACAGTGGTTGAGAACTGATTCTTCTGGAGGGGGAAAAAAAAAAGAACACTAACAGAAGACATGGCTTGAAATCAAATGAAAAGCTGAAGCAACTTTATTCTTATTAGAACAGAAGAATCAATGTAATGTCCACTCGAGGTTTATTCATTCATTACTACATAAATCATTTTCAGGTATGAATCTAACATGAAATTTTATTTGCCTAGAGTTGCATTCCCCATAGATACATGGGTTTATTCAGATATGATCCATGAAGATATGGCATATTATAAGGTTGATAAAAAGGATTTGCAGCACCAGGATTATACACTTGTATCTGTTCTCTTTCTCTCGTCCTTCAAATTGCTTTGACCACAAGGCAAGTTTACAGATGCATCGAGAAGATCCTCCCAGCTATCATCTTCACTATCTTCAAACCTAATCAATGGCTCTCTCTCCTCTTCGCTTGGAGCAACTCCATCTTCTTCAAATTTCTCCCATTCGGTACTCACGACAGTTCCCTTTCTAACTACAATTTGTTTGTCTCCCTCATCTTCTGTTAACTTTGGTGTCAAGTTCGATGATGCCGATGAAGAACTTGATGACAACGACGAATCTGTTAGCTGCCACATTCCATGGAGAAAAGTCTCGAGAGCCTGAATTTGTATCTGTGGAATCCGATCAACAAATGGGTATTCATATGCTCCACATAACCCCATTGCCTTACACCAATCATAGAATTCACAAAGTTGATTTGCTTGCAAAGCTGCTTTCTTGTAGATCCCAAAAGCCAATATGCAACTTTTGTACGGCATTTGAAACAAACTGTCCAATACCAAAACAATTTCTCTTCTAAATGTTGTGTAACAGATGAAACTATCCCGGATTATAAACTTCATTGCTATTTCAACAATGGAGCTCCTGGCTGCAACCCCACTTGGCCTGCACTCCATTACTCTATCAATCAAGCTTTGAAGTTGTGTCAACACTTCAATCATCCTCCCAACTAACTTCATTTTATCCAGTAAGCACTCGCTCTCAGGCGTTTCTTCATCATATGACGCTTCCCTATCCAAAGCAAAGCAATCCAGTGCTTCATTGAGCAAGTGAGCGTATGATCGAATAAATCCGTTGTAATCTTCCGGGGTCGACGACGACTCATCTCTAAAGTAACACGGGTTCAGAGACAGGTAACCGTTGGTTCGGGTCCATAACAACTCGGTTCGGAAAGGGCTGTTTTCAGGCAGTGACCTTAGCAAACGGTGGAGGAGAATCAAACATTTAAGTGCAACTCTCCAGCTGTGAGTCTTGGTGAAACGTCGAGTGAAGCTGATCGAAAAGGCGCGAAACGACGAAGGAGAGACGGAGAAGATTTTGAGAAGCTCATGAACGTATTTATCTGGTAATGGTAAATCATCTGGGGCTGTTGCCTTCACAATGATGAGTTCAACATCGCAAAATCCTCCTGCTGTTGCAACTTTAGCATAACTGACACTGCTGTGTTCTTTAACACAAGTGAAAAGTTGCCTGAGTCGCTTGTGCATGGTGTTTGTGAACTCAGAAAAAAGAGATAGAAAGAGGGTTTTGGAATGAGAGCATTAATAATTTAGCTTGGGTTTTGTTTTATGGGGATGAAAATGAAGCTTAGAAAATAACGAGATGAAGTAGAGGTTTGTTGTTAGAATATGACAGAAGATTGATTGGTATTTCAAGTGTTTTTGCTTTGGTTGGATCAAAGCTACAAGTAATAGAAAATATGTATCCTTGTTCTTTCCAAAGTTACGCTTCGTTGTCACCAGTTTGGATAATGCAATGCCATATTTTATGCTTAATTTGTTGGTGCTGTAATGTCGTATTTTCATATTCTCATTTAAATAGATAATGAATGTAAAGTGCAATATGTGTACTTTAGATTGGTTTATCAAATTACAAGTTGCCAAGAAATATGCTTCTTGTTCTTGTTCTTTTCTTGAAAACAAAGTTGGTTACAAGTGGAAACCCATTAAATAATAAAACTTTATATTTAGAATTATTCTTTCTCTTTATTTGTATAAAATAACCCCCTTTTTTATTTTTTATCAGTCCTTATTTAAGTGAGAGATGAAACTTAATTATATATTAAGAAAATAGATGGGTAAAATAACATCATTTTCTCTAAAGTGTTGTTTAATTTAAACGTATAGCATTTCTATTTGTATTTGTAAGTAGAAGGATCGACAACAATATCTATGCAACTTTTCCTTTTTCCTTTTTACTTTTGTATCATATTATTTTATCTAACAATAATCATCTTAAATTATATGTTACTTTTAGGATATGATTTAAAACCCGGCTTGACCTAATAGGTTAAACAGAGACTTAAGGCTTTCACCGAGCGAAGTTACTAATTTCCCTATTCACCCAAAACCTTAAAAATTAGAATAATGATTGACGAACAATTAAAGGTCGGGATGTTGGGGCTTTTGAAGAGGAAGGGCCTATGAGTACAATGGTGGCGACAGAGATGATTTCCGGTGAGTGAATTGACCAAAAAAAAAAAAAACTAGCAATGGCAACAGTTAGCTTTTGCCAACCATTGGCGAGGCGAACCAGGGTGGGGTGAGATGCATTTCGATCAAGAGGATGAGGAGAGTATTTTCGTGGTGATGGGGAGGGTTGTCGATGCCGACGGTGGTGAGATTTGATCGGAATCAATTGACGCTGGCGTTGGTGAGATCTGGTCAAAATCGGTCGATTCGGCCAGATCTTGGGTAGATTTTCTAGGGAATGGGCTCAAGGGATCAGGATTGTGTTTGGTGTGTCGCCGCCGCTAACTAGTCGATCGTCGATTTGTATTTGGGGTGTGTTTGCTAAATTTCAAACATGTATGGACTTATCGAGTTTTTAGGCGTGTATTTGCTAAAATTTAAACTTTTTGACACTTGGTTTGACCGGTTAAATTGATCAACCTGGGACTTGACAACTTTGTCAGGTTTCACCCCCGATTGGTTATCAAAACATTGTTTTTAGGGTAAATGACATTAGTCGCCCTGAAATATGATAAATAACAAAAATTTCTTTGAGACTTTTAAATTTTAGATGCTAAAATAAACTACAATATAATTTTTAACTATCCACTGATATCTTATTAATGACAAAAGGATTTTTGTTATTTTATTATACCTTATTTTGATCTATTCTTTAACCCTATTTTTATTCATTCATTGTGCAAATAAAATAGATTTGCATGTTTCTCAAAAATTCAAAATTGATCAAAGGTTAAATAATCGTTACCCCTAAAGTTTGAAGTTTGTGCCGACCATGACTTTTTGAATAGGTTAATTACATTGTCACCCCTAAAGTTTGGCTCAAAAATTTTTTCTTTCCATGTTCAAGAAACTAACCCTGTTGCCCCACTATTAGCTTCAAAGTTGATATTGGTTAAAAGGTTGTCGACTTTGACCACTTAAATCCCCGTTTTACCCTTACCACCTATAATTTTTTTTTTTAGCTTAACAACTTTATTATTTATTAATAAATATATATTATATAACTTAATAAATATATTTAATATTAATTTCAAAATATTTTAATATTGTTAAGAAATATTATAAAATTTATAAATAAAAAAAATTCTTACATTCAGAAAAATCCCTAAAAAATAGATAATTCCAACCCTAAATCGGAATTCATAAAAATCAAAATCAAACCTTAAAATTAAAATCATACACATCTAAACCCAAAGATCATATTCCCTTAAAATTATTAAATATATAAAATTTAAAATGCGGCTTCCTAAAAATCAAAATCCCTATAATTTAAAATACATTTAGACCTTAAAAATATTTTTTTTTTCATTTTTTATGTTAACTTAAAATTATTGTATCTTGTTGTTCACCTCTTCCTGATCAGCGTAATTTAATATGCTAACTAGTTAAAAAGTACGCGAATGAAAAAATGTTTCACACTAGTAGCGTAAAAAATTATACCAACAACGAAAGATAAATTAACCACTAGTTTTGTGGTCGGATGACAAGACTTTAGCCCTCTAAGTAGATTACTTAGAGGTCTTGTGTTTGAGTCCTACGAAATGACCACCTACCACATTTATGACTTACTTTGCCTATTGAGTTTGTAGGGTGTTGATGCGTTTACAGAAGCTTAGAGTGAGTTAAAAATAACATCAAGCAACAACACTTCAAGTTTGGCGACAACTACTCTCCAAAATGGATTGAATTGGCAACAACAACAACTCACAAAGATAATAAACAACTACACAACAACAACACAAGATAAATTAAGATGGATATCAATGATTTCCAAGCGTAAAGGCTACGCCACCAGCTTTGGAAGATCATTGACAACATAGTTAACACAAGATAACATAAATGATAAAGACCTAACAATTTTTGGCTTAAAGGTTACACCACTTGCCAATGGAAAATAGACACAACAAAAAACAACTTACAAATTAAAGATAGATATCAATGAACTCCATAACGTAAAAGCTAAGCTACTGACTATGGATATCACTAACAAGCCAATATCTCCAAGACGTAAAGGCAAAGTTACCGGTCAAGGAAGAACCACTACCAAATCTTGGCTGGAATTTGGATAAAGGATAAGAGTGAACAACTCTCACATTTTCATTCCAAAAATTCAATCTCAACTTGTATTACAATGAAGGAGAAGACTCATTTATATAGGATTACATTGGACGCCACATAAGAGAGAGAATTACAAAGTCAAATTCAAATTACAGTGAAAAGATAATTATGACAAAATTACTAATAATGGAAAGAGACAATGAATCGCCCAAAAAAGACAACCTTATCTTTGCTCGAAATGGAATGTCTTGAGCCACATAAATGTCATAGTTGCCATAGCTTTGTCTCCTCATTGAATAAACCCATGTGCTCCCAATTGACTCCATTTGAATTGATTTCCCTCCATGCAAGTACATTGAAACCAATTAAAATACTTGGGCTTTTCCTTCGTGGACTTGTCCTGGTCCAAATAAAGATTGATGGGCTTGAATGTCTTAAAGATAGATTTACATTAGGTGTTCAATGGACCCTAGGATCCGATTATTTAAAAAAAAAAAAAAAAAAAAAAAAGAAGACAAAATTTGCACTTCAAACTAGTTGGCATATTTTTAAACTAGTTGGTGGATTTTCCCATCGTAAGTGTCAAATCGACTGCAATTACTTAAATCCGACATAAACAAAATCAACATACTTTTATTTGCATCAAACACAACACCCACACCACCAACACTCACAACATTCATACAAACAATAACTTACACAACAATAATCACATTAAGCCAAAAACCCTAGAAATTTAAAATCCAAAAACCTTAACTCAAACCCAAAATTCTTACATAAACTAAAAAATCCAACAACTTCCTTCAAAGTGCCGCAATTAGATTCGTTCTCACTACCAAAGTCACCCAAAAATCAATCAAAGTGCAATTAAAATACTCATTGTAATTAATCTATAACGTGATTAATGCAATAAAGGAGTGAAAATTTGAAAATAAAAATTGGCTCCAAACTGTTTTTTTTTTTTAATGGGAGAACAATGAAGAAAATTTTGCTTATATACAAGGGTAATTTTGAAAAAAATGACATTTAGTGGTTATATGAGTATAGGGTTTGAAATTTTGATTAATTATGTAGGTCCCAAAAATTTGGTTATCTACATTAAAAACTCAATAAAATCGCTAACCATATAGACCACATTCAAAACCCAAAAATAAAATCCAAAAAATCAACCATATTATTCGTTCCACCAACGAGGGCTCCAGGCTATGTGGCGTGGTCTTCTCTATTTTTTTTTTTTCATATTTAAATATTAATATAATTCATAATTGAGATTATTATGAAATTTATGCTTAACTGTGTAATTACTTTAATACCCTTTATATGTTAAACTTCAACAGCTAGTCGCACGAATAATGGATGTCGGCATTAGTTTCCTAAATATGGAGGGGGAAAAATGTGAGCCAATTCTCAGGGATGAAAATATGATCAGCCCCTCTTGAATTTGAAAAGTAACATACTCTCATATTCAAAATCAGTAATCGGCGATAAAGGCGGAACGACATGCACCCACCCATAGTTTGCCATAAAAATAAGTTGGTACCTACAGAATTTGAAAACGAAAATTACCTACCTTCTGTCCATAGTAAAGCCTGTTTAAATAAGGACAATATAATAATTTAATATCCAACAAAAAAAAATATAGCATTCTGCATTGATCACGTGTCTACTTTCTCTCTATAATATTAATTTTATAAAAATTTTCCTTCTCAATTTCAATTATTTTATTTTTATAATTAATTTTAATTAAAATTCTGTCTTCATCTTCTTCATCTCTCGCCAGAACCACAATCGCCAGAACTAGGACAACAACTAGCAAAACCTCAAACAAGTGGTGTGCCAAAACTTGGTGCCAAAACGAATCGGAAATCCCAAAAAATCAAACAAAAACACAGAAAAAACACTCCCAATTAATCTCCAACAGTCAATTTCCAATCAGAAACTCCGAAAAACACCAATCAATCCCATTTCAACAAACAACAAAAACCCTAGGAATTCAATCGGCGGTGAAAGGTGAGCAAATGGCGACGAGAAACATAGGGGTTTTGGAGAGGGCACACCGAAAAGAAGATTGGCAGGGAGAGGAAAGGTTTCCGATGATGGGGGCTTCTGGAAAATGGGTGGGGAAGTGCGACAGCTTTGCAAAACCCAAA